TTCACATCTCCTTCCGCCCCTAGTGTAACTAATATTAGCACCTTAATTAAAAAAAAACGAAAAAAAAATAAAACTTTTTTTATTCATGCTAAAAACATCCGTTGAATTTTTATCGTTAGAATGAAAAATTATATAATAAAAATAGTAATAATACTGCAAAACTAAATTCACAGAAGCTGTGGCAATTAATTACACACTCAAAGAAATTATAGAGATAATTTAAGAAAATTATATAATTTGAACCACTTATTATAAATGAAGTCATAAAGTTTGACATTATAACAGAATTTCTCTTATAGAAATTAATATTTTCAAATATTGTAATATTTTCTTGATTGCATATTCTATTCTCTCAGTGTAAATTGCAAATGATGATGCATTTACTAACAAATTACATTAAAATAGCGTGCAATTTTATTGCCATTGTTTTGAATTGAAATAATTTTCATAACAAAATTTATTTCGCACCATATAAATAATTGTAATTTAAAAAAAATATATTATAAACTTGACCCGCTAACTTTTAATTAAGATGTCAAAAAGTGAAAAATATTAAAAACGTTCTATAATAAATTCTATTTAAGTAAAAATAATAAGAAAAACTTATAAAAATAGAATAAAAAGATAAAAGAAAACAAAGTACAAATGTCAGCAAGAGAAGCATTTTTCTAAAAAAAGTCATTCGTTCCCAGTTAATTGTCATTTTTATTAATTTAATTAAAAAATTTTGTTTAATTGTTTTTCTAAAACAATTTCCTAAAGTTTTAAATATTAACGACTAAAGAAAATTTTATGCATAAATAAAATTATTTATTTTAATTTGTTTTTGCACTAATGAATTATTCAAACAGCTTGACATTTGACAGATGACAGACACCCTTCGCTTGAAAAAAACAAACAAGAAGAAGAAGCAAATGTGACAAGACAATTAATTAAAAATTGTATAAAAGAACTTAAAAACAAGATATTGTAAAAATAAATAAAATTCTATCAAGATTTTCTCAAAGATTTTTCTAGAGGGATTATTTCTTTAAAAAATTATTAGAGCTGAACATTTTTATTAAACAATTTGTTAGCAGAAAAAGTGTTTTTTGTTATTGGTAGTTATTTGGTTTTAGTCATAAATAAAAATAGTAACATTTTAGAAATCTGTTGATTAAAAACATTTAAAATTTTTATATTTATAATAAACAAAATAAAAAATCTTTTTATTAAAAAAAAAAACAAAAATTTTGCCCACAATTTTTAATTTCACTTACTATACAATATTATTAAGTATTTAGTTTTTTTTATTATTTAAATTTTCCAATAATTTGCAGACCTATTCATAAATACAATCGATATAATAAAAGTATTTAAAAATACTTTTGTTAACATTTAATATTTTGTTTATAAATAACACTATTAAAATGAACATAAATTAAAAAAAATAGATATACTTTCTTTTTAATCGTTATATTATGCAAACTGAAAATTTGAAAAGAATAGATTTTGATGAATAGTAAGTCTAAGAGGTGATAGTCTTTGATGAAAAGAAATCATAGACTACGTAATACTTAATAAAGGAGAGTACTAAGTACATAACAGCTATATCTTAAAAATTATAAAAATTTTGAGAAAAAGTCTCAAGGAATTGATCCTATACCTAGTTTTTATATTCTTGCTTTAAGTAGGTCTATATAAGATCCAAACACTAATCTTTATTCAATCCAATTTTCAGCTTTGATCGTAAGTCCGATTTAGCTTCAAATTCTGAGTTTTATACGGTCTAACTTTGGCTTTAAAAGCTGAGGCCTAATATAGCTTTAATAGTTGATCTTTATAGAATCAAACTTTAGATTATATTCTAGATCCGATTTGGCTTCAGTCGCTGGGTTTTATACACTTTAATTTTCGCTATAATCGTAGGTCCAAATTTGCTTCAATCGCAGGATTTTACACAGTATAACTTTAGTTTAAATCGTAGGTCCAATTTAATTTCAGTTACTGGTCTTTTTAGATTCTAACTTTAGATTATTTTCTAGATCCGAGTTAGTATCAGTCGCTGGGTTTTATATACTTAAAATTTCGCTATAGTCGTGGGTCCAAATTAGTTTCAACCACTGGATTTTAGACAGTTTAACTTTAGCTTCAATCGTATACCCCATATTGCTTCACTCGCTGGTCTTTATAAAATCTAACTTTAGATTATATTCTAGATCCGATTTAGCATCAGTCGCTGGGTTTTATACACTTTAAATTTCGCTATAATCGTAGTTGGAAATTCGTTTCAACCACTGGATTTTAGACAGTCTAACTTTAGCTTCAATCATAGACCCAATATAGCTTCGCTCGCTGATCTTTATAAAATATAACTTTAGATTATATTCTAGATCCGATTTAGCTTAAATCGCTGGGTTTTATATACTTAAAATTTCGCTATAATCGTAGGTCCAAATCGCTGGATTTTATACAGTCTAATTTTAGTTTAAAACCTAGGTCCCATTAAACATCAATCGCCTTTCATTATGCAATCTAACTTTAGATTCAATTATAGATCGTATTTAGCTCCAATCGCTGGGTTATATACAATCTAACTAGTTTAGATTTGATCGGATGATCAAATTTAACTTCAATTTAATTTAATTTATTTTAATCGTCGATCTTTAGCCTTAATCGTAGATCGAATTAATCTCCAATTCATAGTATTTGTTCACTATAACTTTAGCTTGGTCCAATTTAACTTAGATCGTTGGAGTACAGTAGTACAATTTTAGCTTTAATGGTAAGTTAAATGTTGCTTTAATCATCAATCAACCAACTTTAAATTGATTTCTTTACGCAGTCCTATTGTATATAGTCCCACTATAGCTGGTTTCCACAAATATATATTCAATTACTAATAGCCCATTAATTTATAATGGATTCATAGTCCAATCAGAATTATATTTCTCAAAAAAACTGTAACAGTAATTGGCAACAGAATATATAAAATATCAGAATTTCGATAAATTTTACATGATTGACAGGAAGAGTTTTAAAAATTTCAACAGAAGTCAAATATCCAAACTTATTTGTTGGACCCTACGCGGAATCATGAAAGTAATTGCAAATCTTATAAAAACATTAGGGTGGGGTCTTATACATTAGTCACTGAATGTATAGACCGATCTGACCTATTCTAGTACAAGTCTGGTGGAAGCCGATATAAACCATATCACTTTGGTCCATTTTGTACAAAGTACATAGAACTATAGTTTAGACATTTGGCATGAACTGGCCTCTGAGAAAGCTCGATTTATTTCGATCGCACTATACGAGTTGTTATAGATGAGATCTCATCAAACGAGTTTAAGGTTAATTCAGAGGTACCGCAAGACTCAGTTCTTTTCCCTAGCCTATTTCTTATTTTCATAAATGTCCTTCTATGTCAAACTTCCAACTCTTTCTACTCTAGATATTGGGGCAATGAGGCGAAATATGAATGAATCGCTCAATCTCGACTTGATAAAAATTTCTAAAATGGGGTCGTGTTAACAGAGTCGATTTTAACGCCCGCAATACACATATTGATGGACCAACACATAAACGTTGGTCCATCTATACTTATGGGTGGTGTAAATATTAAGGAATCTGAAACTATTGATGTTCTGGTCATGAAAATATAGTGCAATGTCCGCTGGAATCAACAAACCATCAAGTGTCTCGGTTTTTTGAAACGGTGTAAGACATACATTTCTCCATCTGATCTCCTTACTATTTACACCACTTATATCCGACGACCGAAAATTTCAATACAACTCTTATGTATGGGCCGGAACTTCGAATTCTATTTTGGAGCAACTCGACCGCGTACAAGAGAGGGCGAAGTTACTAATAGGTGACAGTAGGGTATCCAACTCTATTGATTAACTGGAGCACCGTCACAACGTGGGGTGTATCTCACTGTTCTGTCGATACTATAACGGAATGTGTTCCTCTGAAATTAGGAAACTCGATCCCGATACCCCTATATTTTTACGTAGCATACGACTCTCACATTACAACACATTACAGGGAAAATTCACTTCCTGCTGAAGTATTCCCCGCCACTAATACTCTATCCTCCATCCCACAACCTATTTTGCTAGTTCCAACACAATGCACTGTATAAGTAGGGGTCATCCCCTGAGTCCATGAAAAGCAGCAGACGGATATGATCGGACCTTCCTCATGCAAATACCTACAGGGGATGTCTAGACTGCACCCTCTGTCTTTCGGGATAACGCGATCTCAGTCTACTAAAACTTTTACAGATAGTGGCACAGACATTTTCTCAGTTTTTATTGGTCTCTTGATATCCATCAGATAGCCTATTTGAAAAGTAAGCCATGGATAAAATCCGAGAATTAAATCTTGGGCCCTTGTCCATTAATATCTACTTAAATAGTCTTGCTTCACTAAAGGCTTACAAGTCAATTTTATTCAATAACTATCCCAACTCAGATGACACTTTGTCGAATTGACGGGGGTTCCAGGTAATGAGGGAATTCCAAGACATGATCGACCTTCGATGATACTGTTTTCATTATATTCATATTTCCCTGATCACAGTGTCGACGAATGAGCGACTTACTATTATCACTGGCAGACTCTCGGAGACCTTTAATAAACGAGAAATTCGTGCAGGTTCTTGCAGGTATAATTACAGGGCTTTAGGATTATATTTGTTAAAGTTACTGTAGAAATTGTTAAGACAAAGAAGTCTAATAGAAGGTGTTCAACACCTTCTATGTGACTATCTGCTACGCAAGAGGGGACATGTCTGAGTCTTGTCTGCACCTTAAGCCAAATTTATCTATTGAACAACCAGTACTAAAAGTTTGAACAAAACAATAACAACTTGACCGTTAGTTTCAAACCAATAGGTCCCAAGTGGTGAACCCATAAAATAATTATTATACACTACCGATTATAATATTTCATTTTTTAATGAAATTATATAGACAAACATACATATTTGTTATACACATCAAACTTACATATTATTTTTGGTTAGTTCAACTAAAATCGTATCGCTTTAAGCGAACTACTGGTTTGCTGCTATAAAAATCCACAACAACAAATGAAAAAGTAAGTGAGGAAGTGCAATTTCTGAATATTCCAAAATAATAAAATTTTGTTTTCTCAAATATTTTCAACCATCGGGTAAACACATTCTTTTTATAAGATTTCAGCAGTTAATTTAAATTGTTTGCACTTTTATAGCTTTAAATGAAATTATATTATTCTTTTTTTATATGAAATTTATATTCAATTTAAACATTTTGTATTCTTTGTTTGTTTTTGTTTTATTTGTTAAATTTCATGATATATACACTTTATTCATTCCTTTTTTGATTTCTCAAAATATTTCACAATACAATCTTGAATTCACATACAACTTATTGAAAAGAAGAAGACACTTTAAGATTTTGTTTGGCGTATTCCTGGAAACCGATATTCTTTATGTGTTTATACGATTATGGATGTTTGTGTTTTAAATCAAATCATTCACCATTAATTATTATTTACTCGTATTACGTTATTCGTATTTGATTTATTTACATACTATATAGTAGGTATTTATTTCAAATTTTTTCTTCAATTAATTATTTTTTTAATATTTTTTCTACCGGTTATACAATTTTTTTGCATTTCTCAAAACCGTTTCAGAAATAGAACTGAAAACAAGTCGACGAATTTCCAGCAACATCACCTGCAAAACAACAAGCCCCTGATGAAAACTACTGCACACACACACACACACGCAAACATAAATACAAGTTAAATTCATGAGAAAAAACTACCTGCTCATGAGCCACTTAATGAACGATAAATATTAAAGTGAAGAGAATAATGATG